AAAAAAAAAAAAAAAAAAAAAAAAAATAGCGACCCTGGCAAGGGTCCATAAGAGGATTTATGATTTGGAAAACAGACAGATGAGGTCACAGGAAAAAAATCATAATGTATGGTTTCTATAAATCTTACAGTAGTTTTACTTTAAATAGTATGAACTTTTCTGAGCAAAATTCTTACTTTAATGATCTGTTCCTACGTCTAGAAAAATAACCACGCTTGATATTCATCCTATGGATTCCTTTATTCAGCACACAGGTGACAATTAGCGCCTGCTATGAGTTAGCAAGCACTGTGGACACGGAGGAGCATATGCCACCGGTGAAGGTGGTAACTGTTATGAGTCACCAAAATAAAGAGACTTACGCTGCTCCGTAGTCTACAGTCTTGTGTAAATGTTTTCTGACCTTGGCTGTACTTTGTAAAGAATTAATATCAGTGCTCTAACATCGATTGCACGTGTGATTTCTAAAGTGTGCAAATGCTTTTCCTTTCAGATGACTGCCAGATTAAGAAGCGTTCATCTTCTCTGAACTCCAAGGTAATTACTAGTTCACTGAGTATATCACTTAGTGTCTGTGAAGTGTTTATCAGTGATAACAGTAGTTTAAAATATTTCAAATTACATGCCTTTAAATATAAATCACAAAACAGTGATTTTAATTTATATACATGTATATGATATGTGTATTTGCCTACACAGTTTGTGGAGTATGCTTTTATACTGCTTGCTGTATTTGTGTACTACAGTTTGCTTGGCATCATGGCAAAAGCTAGTACGGCAGTATTTTTTGTCGTGCAAACCAAATTTTGTAGCTGGATGTGTTAGTGCATGGCTGTAATCCCAGCACTTTGGGAGATTAAAGCAGGAGGATCCAAGTTTGAGCCCAACCTGGGGAACTTAGTGTTTAGCAAGATCTTATCTCAAAAAAAAAAAAATAAAAAAAGTTGGGTGTGGTGGTGCATACCTGCAATCCCAGCACTTGGGAAGCAGGGGTAGGAAGATTGCTATGGTGCATAGCAAGACCCTGTCTCAAAAAAAATAAGTAAAACTTTTTACAGGGCTGGGGATATAGTACAAAGGCCCTGGATTCAGTCCCAGTATACACACACAGACACACAAATGGGAAAGAGGAAATCTGAAAATGATACAGCAGATGCACGAACTCCTCCTTTCCCGCTGATTCGCTACCTTCAGGCCTTGCTTGGTCATTGTGGTCTGAGATCACTACTTCTGATCCAGAGACCAGGTCCTTGCTGGAAGGAAGAGTAAGAAACAAAGGCAGGGGCAAGGGATATAGCTCAGCAGCACAGCACCTGCCTGGCAAACATGAGGTCATGAGTTCAATTCCTGGTGCCAAAAAAACCCAAAACCCAAAAAACCCTATAGAAACAAAAAAAAAAAAAGAAAGAAAAGGCAAATGTTTGTCTTCCCTGTAAAGATGCTTCCTACAAGCCCAACATGGTATTCCTGTTTTCATTCTTGGTGGAAAAATGAGATGGAAAAGTAGCTTTTATTCTGGAAGCCATACCCCTAGCTAAGAATCAAGGGGCAAATGGGATGTTGAAGATCTGCCCATAGTTTTTTGCAATAGCTTGAAAACTGGGATTCCACAGATTTACAGAAGTTTTGCACGATTGACTTTAAGATCATCCCATCTAAATCTCTATTTTTTCACAGATGGAAGAGAGAAATACAGAAGTGGTTAATATGATCAAGTTGTGACAGAATTATGATTAAAATCCAGCTTTCTCTCATTGCAGTTGGACATTCTTGGGATGCCCAACTAATCTATGAAATTAAATTAGGATGACAGTTTAAGGATTCTTGTAAAACTTGCTATATAGTTCAGGCTGGCTTTGAACTCACTATGTAGTTGAGGCTGGCCTCAAATTCACAGTGATCCATCTGCCTCAACCTCCCAAGTGCTAGGAATACAGGCGTGTACCACTATGCCTGGCTGGGTGTGCAGGGGTAATCATTCTAACCATAAAAGCAATGACAGCAAAAGGGAAAACATGAAGAATACATTCAGCTGGATTAAGAATGCAAAAATTCTCTTCCATGAAAATAAAACATGGACAAAAGGTCATAAGCATAAACAGATGGTTCTCAGAGCAGATATATACATGGTTTCAACACAGAAAAACAATGCTCAGTGTTAGAATTCAGATAAATGAAAACCCAAATAAATTTTATATGTCTCAATTTATTGGCAGAAATTATAATGTTGCAGAAAATGGAATATAAATTGGTAAAATATTTCTGAAAGGTGATTTGTCCAGAAACAAGCTTTTAAAGTATGTCCCCTGTTTAATTCAGCTGTGGTCAAGTGTATGAGTGTGTATGTATTAGGAGAATCATCACTGTTGCAGATAAAGACAAAACATTGAGAGTTATCTAAATGTACACTTTCCCCTTCTGGGTAGCCATCTTCTCTTCGAAGAGTGACTATTGCCTCTTTACCCAGAAACATTGGAAATGCAGGCATGGTAAGCAAATTCCTATGTGTTCTTGATGAGAAGTAATTTTCACATGACTAAAGTATAAACTTACTGCACTAAATATTTTATTTAACATCTGAACTTCTTAAGGTGGCTGCAATGGAAAATGAGAAATTCGGTAGGAGGTCAAGTAGTTGGTAAGTGTAATTTTATGGTTGCTCTTTGGGAATCTTACTATTCCCTAGTGGTGCTAAAGCAAATAGGCCTTTGAAATAAGTGATGCGTAATAACTTTTGATTTGTTCAGAATATTAAAAAATTACAAAAAATGGTGTATGGCAAAGTTTAAAAATTAGGAAATGGGAGTTACATGTTCCAATTTTTTCTTGGCACATTCACATAATTTTTGTGCTGATTTAAGCAGTAGGAAATAAATTGTGAACGGCTACTGATATGCTTGACATATGGCTGTTTCCTTCCTTCCTTAGGCGTATTTTGGGCTCAAAGCAGAGTGAACACCGCCCTTCACTACATCGATTTATTAGCACCTACTCCTGGGCAGATGCCGACGATGAAAAATGTGATCAGAAGTAGGTGTAGCTTGGTGTGTTTATTAAAGGGACAGGAGCTGGGGCACAAACAGTGGGATCACTTTCATTCCATGAGGAGGAAGTTAATGCTGCATCCACAAAAGGATAGTGCACTAGACGTTTAGAAACGTCTAGAAAGACGTTTAGAAGCGGAAGCACGCTGTGCTTGCTACCTGTGGGCACTTTCACTTTTGTAGCTCTCAGAACAGCAAAGTTTGAGGTCTGAAGTTTGAAGAGATGCTGGACTTTGCCAGATTTGTGAAGATTTTACACTCCTAAGTGTCTGCCATGGGGCGGGGGGTCAATAAAGAACCATAGAAATAAAATCTCCATCTCCATAGATTTTAAAAATACATGAAATGTATATGGACTGTGTGTGTACACATAAGGACCCCCGTTTTAATCCTAGAAACCTGTGACATGTGTTGCAAAGTTTAGAATTAGTTATCAGAGTGAATCTTTTCTGAATTGGGAGGAAAAACATTTACGTATTCCTTTAAAGTTTATAATCTATTTTTTTGTTTGTTTGTTTATGGTAGTATTTCTATTGAGAGGTTTTTATAAACAAAAGACTAGCTGGCATGGTGGTGCATGCCTGTATTGCCAACTCTCGGGAGGCTGAGGCAGGAGGATCATTGCGAGTTTGAGACCGCCTGGGCTACAAAGTGAGCTTAAGGTCGGCCTGAACTGCGTAGTGAGACCCTGTCTCAAAAAGACCAAAAAAAAAACCACAAAAAACTGAAGCATTGAGAAAATTATAAGAATGTACTTGATTTTGCCTTTGGGGCCTTGTTTTTTAAAAAACAAACAACCTACCTCATATTTTCTATAGATGGTGGAAAAAATCGATGTGCAGCTTTCTCTGGCAATTGTGAGGGCATAAAAAGCTTGAGATTTCAAAATTCAGCACCCCTCTAGGAACTATCGGTGAATATGATAATGAAACAGTTCTTTTTCAGTGAGACAACACCTCTTTAGATAAAGATTTGACTTAAAATAGTCAATTGTTGTCCTAGCCCATGGAATACTACTTTACTTTAGCTTAACACAGAGACTATTTTCACAAGAGCTTTTTAAAATTAAGACCTTGAGAGAAATAGAAGAAATGAAACTTTGAGTCTTATCCCAAATTGACACTAATCAAAAATTCTAGAGAACAGAGTAAAGTAAAATTATGATACAGGATACTAAAATCAAAGTGGTAGAATATTTAACAATGAGAAAAAAATTTACTATATTTCAAATAAAGTACAAAGAGGAAGAAATGTATCCATATTTTTAATGTACAGTTAAATACACATATATACGTACTAAGAAATGCCAGTAATAACATCAGTTAATTACGAGTCGTGAGACTGATTTTTACATATTCTTTATAAATTTCCCCTTTTTGTGTGTTTGGTTAATATCCCAACTTTCTACATAAACATTTACTATCTTTATAGTTATCTTTAAGTTTTTATAAAATTGGTGATGTAGCTTTTAGAGTTTAGCTAGCACATCTTTGTAAAGCAAAACAGATGTTCATGAACCTCTTGAATGATACACTAAAATTCACCAATGTTTTATAAATAATTATAGCACATTATCATTTTTTTCATTAGTTTTAAATAGCTAAAAACAGTGCTTATTATTTGCAGAACTAAAGATGACCCAGAATCACCTGGAGAAGAAATAGTTGAAAGGATCAGAAAGCCAAGCCTCACTGAAAGGAAAAATAATCCATCCAAGTGGGATATGTCTTCCGTGTAAGTTGTCTACTTGCCCTGTGATTCCGTTTTAGTGGAATGGAGAGTGGTAATCCAGGGCTAAGAGTACTGATCAGTTTCTTTACCCAAAGACACGCCAGGTTTTTACATTTACGGCGAATAATGAAATCTGTAAGGTCTACTGCACTAGTTATCCTTGAACCTATTTTACGAAAGACACGAAGGTTCACAGTGCTAGGAATCTGATTCTGGAGCCAGACAGTCTAGACGCAGGTGCCAGCTGTCTACCTATGAGACCTGGGCAAGCATAGCCATTTGTGAGTTCCAGTTTCCTCATCGAGAAGACGTTAATGGCACCTGCGTCATTGTGTTGGTGTCATGGCTGAATGAAGTAGCACCTGGAATGTGTTACTACAGCATCTCATGCGGAGCTAAGTGATGCCAAAGTAGGAGTTTCTTATGGGTGTTTCTGAAAGAAATAGTTTAAATTTTACCCCAGCAGAGGCATCTGGTATATGCTGAGAAATAAGTGACACTGTATAGATGCCCGGCTTAAGTACATACACCTGCACCTTGCTCTACCAAGTAAACACTGTAGTACTGTGTTTGGTTCCACTACATAAATGAAAGTTATATACTTGATTGAAATAATGAAATATTTGTATGTATGTGTAAGGCCTAGCGCCTAAATGACATAATTTTTAAACAAATCACTTTCTGAATTCCAATAATTATAAGGGGTGGGTGCAGACTGGCCCACGCCAAGAGGATCAATCACAACACGTGGGTTGTAAGGCAGGGTTTGTGGTATTTAGGGTGGATAAATGATGACACCAGGGTGATAGCAAAAGCAGGGTCTCGAATAAGAAATTACTGTGACTCTGGAATTCTGTTTGTGTTTTCCTTCTAGCCCTGACACGCTGGCCTGGGTGACAAATCTCAGGACCTCTGTGAGAAAGGCTAATAAAGCTCTCTGGCTGTCGGTCGCATTCGTCGTACTGTTTGCAGCTCTTATGAGCCTGCTCACGGGCCGATTTTTCCAGAAGTCTGTGGACGCCGCTGCCACCCAGGAAGGGGACTCCTGGATCTCTCTAGAGCACATCCTCTGGCCATTTACCAGACTCCAACACAACGGGCCACCGCCGGTGTGACCGCCGCAAACCCTAACGTATGTGGCTTGACTTTTAACTTGCCATTGTCTGAACTTCATGAAACGAGTAACTTTTAGCTGGGATTTCACTTAGGGATAGCACAAAACCACAGGTTTTCGGAGAAACTGTAAAATATTTTGCATTCCCACTTTGTGTTTTATAGTTGGGGAGGTGACCACAAAAAGGGTATTTTAACGAGGTTTTTGAGAAATACGTTGTTTTGCTACAATTTATCTAAATAAAGAACCCTTCAAATCTTCCGACAGTGAAAGTTGAACTTACTTCTCAATAGCGCGAATAGTCAAGGGCGGAAAAAAAAAATCCCACTTTGTTTAAAATAAAATTTGAATATAAAGTGCTGTTAGATAATTTTAATAGCCTGTTTGGAATCCAGTCCCTCATTACACTGAGGAGTACAGGATTTTCCCACCAAGAAAGTTCGCAAGTGGAGATTAGGAATAGCTGAGCACCCTGGTGGAGAGGAGCAGGTAGCAAACGGAGTCGATGAACTGGCAGCTGGAACGCCTCACTTTCTCGATGGCTTCCTTGGAGGCAAAGTCCTTGACCATGTGAAAGAGAGTGGAGTGAAACTCAGTTTTTTCCCCAAGTGCTTCAGAGAATGACTCGCTCTCTTCTTCTATCTTGAGCCTCCACGCTCTGTCCCCGCTGAACATGTACAGCTCCCAATTTGGAGTCTCCGTGTGCTCGTCGCTCAGGTGCTCCCTCACCTAAAGAAAATAAGATTAGAAAAAATCTGTTCACGGTTCCCTTTCTACTAATGGTTTTGAAAGTTGAGTGTTTATTGGAAGGGCTCGGCTCAGTCTCCCAGAATGCCCAAGTTAAACATTCTTAAGGTCCCTTTATTGAATTACTTGTAAACTCAAACTGTATTTATGGAGCTTTTCTGTATGTATTCATTCATACAACTAATATATGCCCAGCATGTGACAGGCCCTGAAATAACTGTAAAACACAAGGGAATGCCAAAAATTCACCAGGCAATGGCAAATGTACTAGAAAGTTGTAGGACTTGCCGTCTTAGAGGAGAGATGTGACTCTATCTACCTACCTAAGACATCCACAGCTCTTGAGTTGGTAGGAAAAGTTATAAGAGCTCCAGCCTGAAGTCACAAGCATAGAACTTACATAGTTTGGAGAGATTTTTCCTTTTTTTTTTTTTTTTTTTGCTTGAGATTAAACCCAGGGCCTCACATCCCTAACCGCCCCCTTTTTTTTTTAATTTTGAGACAAGATATCACTAAGTTGTCAAAGCTGACCTCCCACTTGCAATCCTCCTGCCTCTGCCTCCCAAGTAGCTAGAATTTAAGTCATATGTCATGATGCCTGGCCTGGTTTTATATTATTGACAAACTAAACAAAGCTAAATTTTTGAAAAAATTTTAAAAACACTCTTTTGAATTTTTTTGATTACTTCTTAAAAAGGGAAATGCTAGGGTCTACATTCAGTGTTTGAATACTTTATCCTCTTCTGGAAAACAAGGTTGTTTATGGGTTTTTAGACACTCTACCTTAAACACAACATTGGTAGAATTGCACAGAGTATTCCACTTGCTCCACCCAAATGCAAAAGCAGAACTCAGCAGCGCCATCTGCCGATAAGCTTTCATTTCCACCAATGGGACCTGTCCATACAAAACACAAAAACAAACGGGGTTCATCTTGGAGCTTCCCAGCAAGTCTCCCTCCCATCCATGGCCTCCATTAAAAAGTTTAAGTCAGATTAGCTAAGGCTTCTCTCAAAATTGGGCCAAGGGCTTTTCTTTCCTCTCAGCAGAATCCAAAGGTGATGTCTACAAAAGCTCTCTGTGATCAGCCCCTCCCCATTCACCCATGGCCCGGTCTCCTCTTCCACTCCCTCAGGCTCTGGCTACAGCTGTTCTCTGCACCTGGACACACGTGGCTGAACTGGGCACCTCCAAGCTCTCAGCAGATCTTACCCTCTTTTACCTGCTCCTTGAGTCTCCTCCATACTTAACTCTGGATGCTGTCCAACCTACTCATTCTCATCGACTCTCACCTTTTTTTTTTTTTTTTTTTTGGTTTTTCTCCGGTACTGGGAACCGAACTCACGACCTTGCGCTTGCCAGGCAGGCGCTTTGCTGCTGAGCTAAATCCCCAGACCCTACTCTCACCTTTATAGCCTACAACATCCATTCCTTTGCTTCCCTCAACTAGAATAGAAGCTCTGCAAGGGCTGGGACTGTGTCTTATTAACTAATGTATCCGAACTGTCTAAAACAGTGCCCAGCTTATTGGTATTCAGGGAAAATATTACTATCTTGAAAACATGAACAGGACCCTACATTAGCACTGTACTTACTACAATTTGGGTTACTAAAACCAAGGAGGCTTTTCCTCCCTGTGTGTGTACGTACATGCTCTACAATTACTGCCAAATGCTATGTGAATGTCCACCTATACTGCTAGTCAGTTTCTGCTGTGTTCATACACGTGTAGAGTATAGAATTCTGCCTACAGACGTCTTCCATGATTAGAATTCTGTATACAGTATACAATTCTGCCTACAGACGTCTTCCATGATTGTGTCTTCATTCACATATCACAAAGGTTCACTAAGCATTTGTATTCTAGGAGTCTGCTAGGGGCGAGCAGAAAGTTGGTTCAAAAACAGCTCAGGGAGCCTCCAGGGTAACAGGGAAGGATCTAATTTACCCAAATCTTGTAACATAAAGCAGCATACAGCCATGGAGGCTTTGCCAAGAAACCTACAGACAGAGGTTTGGACACGGGAGGTTCCTCTCTTGTTTAATTTTGCCTGATTTACCGTGTTTGAGAAAGTGCAGTGTTATCTTCTCTCTTAAGAGAACTGCCAGGTGTGGTGGTGCATGCCTGTAATCCCAGCATGTGGGAAGCTGAGGCAGGAGGGTCATTGGGAGTTTGAGACCAGCCTGGGTTACAGAATGAGTTCCAGGCCAGCCTGAACTGCATAGCAAAACCCTGTCTCAAAAGACAGAAAAAAAAAAAAATGAACAAAAACTATAAAAATGAAAAGTCACACAGGCAGCTTCTGCACTGAATTGATGAGCTCTAGATACGTTGCATGTGTGAGCTTGTACTACAGGGTTCTTTTGTCAACGTTACTGAATGTGAGAGAACCTGGGGTTCCATTCTTTGCTAACTATAATCATGGTAGTGAATGTATGCAAATGTAATCCTTGTCAACATTCGAAATGGCCACTACGTTAGGTATGGAAAGGTTAGTACTTGCCTTATTGTTTATAACGACATAAAAATGAGAGTACGCGGTTGGGAAGATATTCAGTCCCGTTTCTTTCAGAGCGCTAATGAAAGGAATAGGAGTCATCCACTTTCCTTCCAACGCAGATGAGTGCTCTTTGTCCTTTATTTTGACTGAAGATAACATGCAGAGGTTTTCCTAGGTTTAAATAAGAAAAAAGAAACTTTTATAAAAAGTTAAATTACTACTTCGGTATCCTTCCAGGTCCAGTCTTTAAATTCTTCAGACTATTTTTTAAAGCATGTATCAAAGCTTTAAAACATGATATTATAATGAATGTAGCTGGGTGTGGTGGTACACACCTGTAATCCCCAGCACACGTGAGGCTGAGACAGGAGGATCAATCGCCCTGAGTGAATTCAAGGCCAGCCTGGGCTACATAAGCAAGTTCAAGGCCAACCTGCACTACATAGCAAGACCAAAAAAAAAAAAAAAAATGCAGGACAAGTATGTGTTAGGCCTGATAGAAATACCGTCAATTCCCCATTAACATATAAGCAGTTTACTAACTTTTTCTAGGCTTATCTGAATAATCAAGCGATTAATTCTCTTAGATCTCTTTTAAAAGTTAGGACCTACAAACACTGCATATGCTCACACTAAGTCAAAATAGCTATTAAAAAGTCCTGATTACATTTTTAGGGGTTATTCATCTTTTAAACATGTAAAATTTAATATCTAGGTTTATGATTTGGCAAAGTAGCAGTTCAAAAGTGTACAGAGTTCAGATCTTTTGTCTATTTTGATATTAATAATTGATTTACCCCAATATATCTAGAATATAAGATGTAAGCAGTATAAAATTATTAATGAAAAAATTGCTTTTTTTATACCAAGCATTCAAAATCCAATATGTGTTTTCAATTATAGCACATATTAATTCAGATTAGCCACATTTCAGGACTTAGTAACCACATGGGCTAGTGTAACCACGTTACACAGCACAGATGTATCTTTATACTTTTTTTTTGGTACCGGGAATTGAACTCAGGGTCTTGCGCTTGCCAGGCAGGCACTGTGCCGCTGAGCTACATCCCCAGCCTGGATGTCTCTTTATGATCTGACCTGAGAGCACACAGTCCACACAGTCCTTCTAACCACGTTAATAAACGAACACTCTGTGTGTGTCTTCCCATTAACTTGGAGTCTGCCCTGGGGCTTCAGGGCAGCTGGTGTGGGAAAGCGGCACCATTCTATTAGAAAGCTGACGGTCCCAGCGTTACAATCTCCTTAGACAATCTTAGGAAGGTCACTCAGCTCCAAACCACTTTGGGCCTCAGTTTCCCTCTATAAAATGTGAGGGCAGATTAGAAATGTTTTGAGGTCCTTTGTAGCATTGACAATCCTGAGCTCTTGAGCTCCCATCTGATTTTAAAAGCAAAGTTTGATAATGAACATCAAGACTTCTGGGCTCGCTCTCTCTATAAAAACAGTATCACTGAGATATATTTCGCATAGCACAAAATTCATCCATTTCACATAGTGCAATCACTGGAGAGGTCATTATGCACTTCAGGCTGGACTCACGTGCAGGGATCCTCCTGCCTCGATGCGATCATTTTGAGAAGCTTTATCAAATAGTGTAACTATCACCACAAATCATTTAAAGAACTCTTTCGTCCCGCCCAATAAAATCCCTTGGGTCCATTAACACTTAGTCACCATTCCCACACTCAGCCCCAGGCAATCACTTAGACTTGTCTCTATAATATTTTCTTACTAATGAACAACAGTGCCTCATTCAGAGAGAGAGAGAGAACAACTTCACAGGGAATTTCAAATGCTTGGATCATGATCAGGGAGCCTTTTTGGGGTGACTCAAGAACTGAAACGCATACCATAACCAGAACAGAGCTTGCTGCTGTATTCATGGATCTATCCATGGTCACTTTAGGTACCATGATGAGCCTCATACTTATGTGTTATTGCTTATTTATTCAAGCAGTATCTTAATTAGAAATAGCTCAAGGTATATTTTATATGTAATTCTAAAGCACTTATATTTGAATACATAAATCAATGACTATTTCAACACCCTATCATACCCAAAGACTTGCTAGGACAGGAACTTACCTGAATTTGTATTTGAATCTCAGTGAATACTGTTGTCACAGTCAGAAGTACTTTATTCTCATCAAGTGGTCTTAGTTCCCACGACTGGTATGGCATGTTAATATGAGTGTCTTGCATTAAGGTAATGGGGCCAAAGGTTTCCAGGCTGAACGATATAAGTCTTTCTTCTGGGGTGTAATATACACCACTAATGCCATCTGTTTGCCAATATTTACCTTTATGGCAAAATGAAGAATGACATCAGTTTCATTTTTTCCTACAAAAAAATAAGATCAATGCAGCTATCTACATCGCTGATCTTTTACATTAAGAATAAAATCTAGCCAGGTGTGGTAGCACACACCTGTGACCCCAGCACTCGGGAGACTGAGGCAGGAGGATGGCTGTGAGTTAGAGGCCAGCCTGTGCTACATAGTGAGACCCTGTCTCAAAAAAACAAAGTCTCAACACAAATCCACCTTCTCTTGGGGTTTTTCTGCCTCTAGGATCAAGTCCACACTCCACAGCCTGGTCTTCAAGATCTTCGGAGTGGAGCTTTGACTCACTTTTCTCGGCCTGTCCCTCGCCATTTCCCTGTTTTCAGCCCCACCAATACTCTTTTCCCCTGGGCCTTGGCACACACAGTTTTTTTTTTTTCCCCTGGAAGAGTCTTCCCTAATACTTTAGAGAAATGCTCTTCCTCTTTTCAAACAATTTTCCCTGTTTGAAGGATACCATTGCAATTATTTTTAGTAAATTTACACAGGTATACAACCATCCCCACAGTCTGATCGTAGAACATTTTTATTTGAAATAACTATGCCTCTATTTACAGTTTACTCCCATTCCCAGCCCTAGCCCCTGGCGGCCTGCCATTCATATACTTCCTGTCTCTCAAGATTGGCCCTTTTGGGACTTTTCCAATAAATGCAGCCACACAATAGGTGTTCTTTCATGTCTCTTACAACTCAAAAGCGAAATCTAAATTAAAGCCACAAAATTTCTTGAATAAATATCTCACCAAAGAAGATAACTGATAGGCTAATAAGTACATAAAAGGATGTTCAGTGTTATTCACCGCTAAAGAAGTACAAATTCAGGGCACCATGACACACCACTTCCTACTCACTAGAAAGACTGACAATAACCAGTGTTGGCAAGGAGGTGGACAAATGAAAACCTTCAAGTAAATTGGTTCATCAGCTCTGAAAAATCAGTTTGGCAGTTTCTTAAAAAGATAAACATAAATTTACCACTCACCCTGCTATTCCTCTCCTAGGTATACACCCCAGAGAACTGAAAACCGAGATCCCCACAAAGACAGACACACACAATGTCCTTTTCATCGCTAAGGCTCTGTTCAATATCCCACCATATGAGACTGACCCAGCTCACTGTTGTAGCCAGCAGCAACTTATGCCTGTCTGCTCCAATACCTGACTACATAGCATCTGAGGTTTTCCCTGCCTGCCTCTCCCATGATTTTGACAACTCCCAGAAGCAGGAACTCTGTTTCATTTCTGCTCTCTGACTCATCAATTCGCGTATTTATAGAACTAACAAGTGGAGCACTGTCTTTCTAGATGCAGTCTCCATGGCCACTTGGTCCTTTTGTCTTCCCACACAGAGGGTTCCACTGACTAGGTTTTAGTCTTAAATTTAATATAACAGATGCGCTGGGTGTGGCGGCGCACGCCTGTAATCTCAGCACTCGGGAGGCTGAGGCAGGAGGATCATTGTGAGTTCGAGACCAGCCTGGGCTACAAAGTGAGCTCAAGGCCTGCCTGAACTGCATAGTGAGACCCTGTCTCAAAAAGACAAAAAAGGAAAAAAAAAAAAAAGAACATTACTATTAACACCTTTAGAACAACATGAAAGAAGAAATCATGTAATTGTTCATTTTTGTGTATTTTATAGTGTAGTCTATGAGAAGGTACTGTTTTTAATTCACAAACTATTTCTAGAATATAAATAATGAATTGTGGTTTGGGAGCTTTGGGGCATTCATAAGCAAGTTTAAACTATAAAATATTTACTCCTTTTGGTAAAAGTTGCTAAATTATCTACCCCTGTGACTATGACGTACAGTGAGAGATCTGTGCCTTAGAGATTTGCTCCCAGCCAATCACCAAGTGTGTAAATCCCTCAGAAATAAGTGGATGGAAAGCAACTCTGAAAATAAAATCCTATCGCTTTCGTCTAGGTTCCTTAACATTGCACAACTTAATACACAAGACAAAGAACTTTCAAAATTCAGCCATCCTACCACAAAAGAGGCATTTGGTAATGATTTTCACATCATTAGCTTAGACATCTGATTTTATTAATATGCCTTTAATAGTGTGTAAAAGTAACCACTTCCTGTGGTTCAAGAATCAAAAATTAGAAAGTGGTACGCCGCGGCTAGTTTGTCTGTTTTCCCATCCATTCCCATCTCTGATACCTGTGTGCAATTTACACGTGGTTAATGTTAAAATCTGAATTGCCTCAGTCTGAATTATTTGGTTATTTTGTGAGACAGGAGGTTAGGCTTTTCACTTGCTAAACCATTTTGATACCTTAATTCATTTTTTAAAACAATGATATAGCCATAAAACCTACTATTTATAGGTTATGACAAACTTTGGAATTTTAAGGACCTAATAGTACCAAAAATTCAACAAAATTTAAAATTCCAGCTCCTATGCATTTCTAGTGAGAGCAAACAAAATAGAGATCCTAGAACTGGCATAGAAATATGTAAGATAAGAAACTCGGTTTACACACTACATTTTATGTTCAAGGTAAGGATTGGTATTGTATTATCAAAGTTGGTATTCCTGTAATTATCAACGTCGGTTAATGTGTTGCTGTACCTTGAGCATTCCACCTTGCGACCACAGGTTCTTCAAAAAAGGTCACTTTCTCATGAACCTGAAGCGTGACTTCTATAGGCGGAAAAGCATTTTCTGTGTCAAAGTCTTCTGTGATTTCTGGAGGATATGTAAACTTCTGTAATCCTTCTTTGAGTATCTTTTAAAAATGACCAAAACGCCACCAAGTCAGAAGGTAGCTGGTAACAGTTAAAGATGTAAATATTACTAAATAAAGCATATAATTTTTCAAAAGCACTGTAGTTTGGTCCCGTGTATCTATAGGTCAGCTTACCAAATGTCACAACAAAACGAAGATAAATGAAGGGAGAAATTGTAAATTCAAATGTAACTGCAGAGCGTCCCATGGGGCAGGTTCTGTGACAGAGAACATCAGTCTATTCCTCTGAGGAATCCCACAAAGCCTAGACTCAGACTTACCAGAGAAGAAAACTTAGACTTGGAGAGATTAAGTAAATTGCCAAAGCTTACAAGATAATTTCGAGATAACATGAGCAGATCTATGGGGCGCCAAGTTACCTGTTCTGATGTTTTGGTAAGGACAGGTAGGTGATCAGGAAAGTGCAGACAACCTTTTGATAAGCGGGGTAACCAAGGGTGAAAATAAAGTGAGTGAACAGCAGATTTTCCCAGAATAAGGGAGATTTATGCATTATCTGAAAGCAGCAAAAGGGATCTAGGGAAGGAGGAACATTAAAAATGTGAGAAAATAGAGAAAAAAATTCTAGAAGAGGTAGAAAGTTATTTTTTTAAAAAAGCCTTGGAGCTGGGCGTGGTGGCACATGCCCGTCATCCCAGCACTTGGGAGGCTGAGGCAGGAGGTTTCACCACGAGTTCAAGGCCAGCCTGGGTTACACAGTGAGATTCTGCCTCAGAAAAACCACGAAACTTTGGGGAGAAAAGAAGGGCTCTTTATTGCAGGAGAGAAGGCGTGGTGTGAATTCACTGGGTGCAGCTGCAGAGCATAGGAATAGATTTCTAGAAAACTCTGGCTCAGCCGTGGACACTCTAAGGCCTGCCTTCCTCAGAAGGAGGGCTTAGCCTTGCCCCGGTTCTCCCGAGGTCCCTTGAGTACGGAAGGCAGATTCTAAAGGACTCTTTGAAGTGGCTACAGCCAAAAGGGTCTCCCCTGGGCTTTCTCGAGTAAATGCAGTCTCGTTTGTAGGTAGAAAGGGGGGGGGGGAATGGCAGTATCAAAATTAGTTGGGTGGGGTGGGGAAAAAGAAAACACTAATCATTCATACATGTAAAGCCTGTACAGCACATACAAGGATACATGGTATTATCTGTGTATTAACATTTTACTGGGGAGGGTAACTCGGGGGTAAAATGTCTACAAAGACTCCGAGAAAGAGAATTGAGAATACAGCTGTAAATACAAGAATGTAACGAAGTCCTGAACGGATGGGATTGTGAAGCTTGAGACGAAACTGGTAATCTGCCCATGCGCTGAGCTACAAGGGAGGGGAAAGAAGGTTCAAGTCACCCGGATGTTAAACCAAGTCAACGCTGATGCAGGTGCTATCACTTACGGAACAGGCAGCTGCGCCCCTTGAAAGCTGATCTAACTACTGCGGTCAGCAGCAGCCTCCTGGGCACTCCGTGTGGCCTGGACACTGGCAGCAAGGGCGTCACCAGGGTCAGCACTTCTCAGACTTTAATGTGCCCGAAATGATCTGAGGATCCCGTTAAAGGGCAGATCCTGCAGGACTGAGGTCGCCCTGCAAGGACGCATTTCTTAGACATTTCACAGCGATGCCTCTTTGGCTGGTTCAGCGCTACTGATTCAAGGACCACACTTTGTGCATCCGGGATTCAGATCAGAAAGACTCTTCAGGGAGTTTGTGGCTAAAACACAAATCGCTGAGCTTCACTTTTGGAGTTTCCGACTCAGTCTGAGGCCGGGCTCGTGAAGTTGCGTTTCTAGCAAATTCCCAGACGATGTGAGAGGCTGCCAGGGGGTCACAACGCTGACAGCCACAGATCCAACCAGTCTGCAGGCTGCTGTGTCTGGGAAATGCCTCCCACCGCCTCTGTTTGTAAATGAAGCTGAGCCCGAGAGCTGCCCATGTGTTTACATACAGCAGTTGTAGCGCTCCAAGGGCAGAGTGGTCTCCTCAGAGCTGGCTGGCCCAGAAGACTGAATATACTCACCTCCTGGCCTTTCACAGAGAAAGTCTGCCGACCTCTGATCTAGATTATCAAGGCCAAAGTGGCACTTCCAGATATTAGTGCTGTAGGGTTTTTTTTTTTTTTTTTTTCTCCAGTACCGGGAATCGAACTCACTACCTCGCGCTTGACAGGCAGGCGCTGTGCCGCTGAGCTAAATCCCTAGCCCCTAGTGCTATAGGTTTACAGTTCACATATGCTACTTTTAAAATGCATATTTTAGATCACTAGCATTCCTGTACACACATAACGAACTCACCGAGACAGAAATGAGACCACGCCTTTCACAATAGCATCCAAAAATGAAACAGCAGTCAATCCAATGAAGTAAAAGTATTTGATTCAGACTTTTAATACCTATAAATTCGAGACAACTTAAAATTGCATTTTTTATCAGCATTGCATTGCTTAATATGGTCAGAATTCAAAAGACATTGATATTATTTGAAATGAGGTAAAAGCCTAGGGAAACTATTTTGCTTACAGGTTTGGCAGTACTGGGGATCAAACTCATGACCTTGTGCTTGCTAGGCAAGCACTTATGCCACTGAGCTATATCCCCAGCTGCTTACAGGTTTGGATGAAAGAATTTACATACCTCCACCATCATCCAGCCTTTCACTGGTTTACACTGCGGGGGGAGCTCCAAAATATCCAGGTGGTACACACCACCTAGAATCGTGAACTGGCATAAATCCACCTCCTTGTTTTCAGAGACTTCTGGCTTTTCAGGAGCATTCTTTATCAGGTCCAACTGTGCTAAAGTTAATCAGATTAATACAGTTTCTAAATAGATAGGAAATGAAAAATCTTGATACTGGTAAAGGAAGTTGTAAATAGCTCCTAAATCTTTTCAAAAAGTGTTTCACTCAGAACTACTCATTGACTGATGGATGTAGAGGCTGTTTCCAGGATTTATCTAACCCTAAGGAAAGGAAAGGAAGAAGGTAAATTATCATTATTTGCAGATGATGTGACACTCTATATAGAAGACCCCAAAAGACTTCTAGATTTAATAACCGAATTCAGTAGTATAGCTAGATACAAAGTCAGCACTCAAAAATCAATAGCATTTCTGTACACAAATAACTCACCGAGAGAGAAATTATAGAAGCCACACCTTTCACAATAGCATCCAAAAATTGAAATACTCAGGATTCAATCTAATGACGGAAGTAAAAGACCTTTACATTGAAAACTACAGTCGTCTGAAAAAGGAGACTGAAGAGGATATCAGAAAATGGAAAGATATCTCTTGTTCTTGGGTATGAAGAACCAGCAGAGTAAAAATAGCCATATTCCCCAAATTAGGATACAGATTCAACGCAACCCCCAATCAAAATATCAATATCATTCCTCACAACTAGAAAAAGCCATCCTAAAATTCACATGGAAGCAGAAGAAATCTAGAAGAGCAAAAGAAATCCTAGGCAAAAAGGCAAGGCAGGGGGCATCACAACCTCTGAATTTAAATTATATTACAAAGCTGCAGTGATAAATAACAGCATGGTCCTGGCCCCTCCCCCGCAAGAACACACACATACAAAAACAGAACACACCTCAGGATCAACGGAACAGATTAGAAGGTGGAGAAAATAGCTCAGTTTGGATGAAAGAATTTACATACCAGACACACTGAGCTACCTTATCTTTGACAAAAGGGCCACCTTCACTGGAAGAAGGATAGCCTCTTTAATAAATGGTGTTGGAAAAACTGGTTTTCCACATGCTGAAGACTCTAGACTCACTTGTCTCACCATGCACTAAACTAAAATCAAAATGGATCAAAGATCTAAATATTAAAAACCACAAACATTAAATCTGTTGCAAGATAGAATAAGCAAAACACTTGAAGACATTGGTATAGGCAAAGACCACACTAATCACACAGGAATTATCACAAAGAATCAAACAACTGGCATCTCATTAAAAGTTTTTGTACAGCAACAGAGTTAAGAGACAACCCATACAGTGGGAAAAATATTTTGCCAGCTGTTCCTCAAAGGATTAATACTTAGAATATATAAAGAAGCCAAAAAAAACCCAGAGTCCCCAAACATAAAGACCCAATCCAAAACAATCATCTGAAATGAACAGACACTTCTCCATTGAAGAAGTAGAAATGGCAAATAAATATATGAAAAAATGTTCAACAACACTGGTCATTTAAGAGATTCAAATTAAGACAATACTTGAGATTGCATCTCACCCCAGAGAAAATGACTATTATTAAAAAATGAACCAATAACGAATGCCAGCAGGGCTATGGGGAAAAAGGAATCCTCCACTGGTGGTAGGAGTGTAAACTGGTGAAATCCCTGTGGAAATCAGTGTGGAGATTCCTCAAAAAACTAAAATTAGAGATTGTATTTGACCCAGCTATTCCCTTTCTTGGTACCTTCCCCAAAGAATTAAAAGAATTTATCTCATCAAGATATAACATGTACAGGTACAAAATTCCTATGATGAATGTTATCAATGTATACATCTAAACTGTACCAATAAAATTAATTTTTTAAACCAAAAAGAATTACAGAAAGCAAATAAATCTATTAACACTGGTTATCTCAGGGGAGGGACTATGAAGAAGTTTGTCTTTAAATTTCTACAGGGCCAGATGTTTTATTTTTACAGTGACCTTGTGTCAATTGGTAAAAATCACTGTGTGAAGAAAATCTCAATAGAATTCGATTATGAAAATATAATTTAGAATACCTTCTGCAACTGATTCACTTAATAACTTCATCTCCAGTTCAACTTCTGTGGCTTTCGATTCTTTCTTGACAGAAGTCTACAAAAACAAACAAACAAATAAAAATCACCACACAAAAAAGCTAAAAGAGGACAGACCCTGGTCATCATCAGTGTCCACTTGAGCGTAGCGTCATCCTGCGTTCCAGGTTCCTCTTCCTATAGCTGTCACCTGAATTCCAGGGCCCCAGACTGATACCTGCTATGGCACAGAAGCGGGACAGTAGCAGTAGCTTTAAAAGCAGATGAGCACAGCTCCCCTGAGCTTCATGATTCTGCTCCGATTCTCCTCTGAAAACCCTGCAGTGTGAAATGGAGAACAACAGGCAGCACTGCACATTAGAAGTATTATTTAGGATTTCCAGGTGGCTGAGGAGAGGTGCTGAGCTCTCACCTCATGCCACAGAAGGAAGATTCCAAGTAACAGGTGCAGGGCTGCACCGGGAGGTGACTGCGGGAAGACCCTGGCAGTCAGGAGAGAGCCTGGAGCCTTACAGGTTACAGACCTGCCCGGGGCAACACTGGTGAGAGAAAACACGGCACACCTGCCACCCTCGCTCCACAGCCAAAGCAGGGAAGAGTTTCTCTTTGCCAATGTTTGCAGTCCCTGCAAACCATCAGCGGGACATCAGCTGGGGATCCTAGCTGCTGCAAACTTGCAAACTCCTCGGAGGTTTGCAGCACGCTGAAATGAGTAACCTGAAATCTGCCAGTAGCCCAGCTTCGGGAAATGATCTCATCATCTCCCAGCAAACTCCCAGGGTACCACAGTCAGCAACCACCTTGAGGTCTGAATTTGGACTTCTCTGGGGGTCAGACCCTGCTGTGTGTCCCATCTCTGGAAACACACAGGTTCCATGGCACTGGCTCAATGCATACCTACTTCGCAAACCAAACCTGGCCTAGCAGAGAGGCTCTGACCCCCCCCTCACTGGGAGGAAAGAACACCATGGTGCCCCTGGAGGGGCGTGGTGAGGCAGCCTTGTGCAGTGCCCACCCTGCGCACACAGCCAGAGGAGGCCCTCACAGGAGTCTTGCTTCTCTGGCCATGTCTGTTCCTCTCCTTAGCCTGCAGCAAAGCGCAGCTCCATGGCAGGGTCCCCGTGGTGGTGGGCAGGCGCTCCTGCAGTAACAGCACAGGGACACCTGAGTCCCCGCTGCCCCACCCCCCCTCACCGACTGAAGGGCTGCCACCTTGGCCACTCCCAGTCTGACCACCCACTGCTGGTAGGACGAGGTGTGAGCACCACCCAGGGGCAGTTGTGGCTCCTGCTAAAGCCTTTCTGCCATGAAGTGCTGGGTCCATGCTAGTGTCCCTTAGAACTGCTTCAGGCTCTTCACCACGACCGGCGCCACCAGCGTCAGAGGCCCTTATTAGCAGCTGAGCTGGCATCAGTAGTGCCTGAGAGAACCCCCATAACCCCACGCAGGCCACCGCTCCCATGGCAGGAGCAGCCACAGGGGGCGCCACACGCCGCTGTCCACACCACCCCTGCCTGAATGGCTGCAGTGTCCCCACTCTTACGTGGCACAGAGATTCAGCCGCTTTCTGTGACTCTGATGTGGCGGACTGTGCCCAGACTCACAAATCACAGCCAAAGGAGTTACGGGGAATTTACACTAGGGTGCCCAGCTAAAAAGGAAGCCACACTGCATAATCAACACACTACCCCATGACCTACCTTGAGAAAGCCATTTACTGATCAGGCCACCCCGTAAAAGTGATAGAGACACCTCATCCACTAGATGTGCAAATCTCCATATAAGAACACAAGAAATGTAACAAAGCAAGGTAATATGAGAGCTCCAAAAGCTCATGACTTTCTAGCAATGGAGCTCAAAGAAATTAAAACACATGATATGCCTAATTAAGAATTCAAATAAAAAAGCTGGACCCAGTGCCCACACCTGTAATCCCAGCACTCTGTGAAGCTGAGGCAGAAGGATCTCAAGTTCTAGGAGATCCAGTCTCAAAATGAGAAGTAAAAAAGGATGGGGATGTAGTTTGCTGTGACAGCCCTGAGTTCAGTTCGCAGCACCACCAAAATAAATAAATAAATAAATAAAAATCGGAAAAACAGTTGAATGAAATTAGCAAGACAACACAGAATACTAATGAGAAATTTAGTAAAGAGATATTTTGAAAACAACCCAAACATAAATCTTAAACAGGAAAAGTTCAACACAACAAAGGAAACATTGTACCCAAAGGTTCAGCAACAGACTATCAAACTAGACAAAAAATATCTGAACTTGAATAGAGGTTTTTTGGAACAGCCCAGCGGCGGGGGTGGGGGGATCGAGTGGGCTGGGGTTGGAGCATTTTCAGCCATTGGAACACTGTCAAATGAACAAACATCCACATCTTTGTAATCCCCAAAATCAATAAGAGAAAAGTTAAAAGTACAGGTAACACATTCAATAAAATAGCAGAAAACTTCCTTAACCTTGAAAATCCCTAGACATCATGTAAAAAAAGGCTTACAGAACCCTAAGGGACATGACCAGCTCCCAAGGCATACTGTAGTCAAAATGTCAAAAGTGCAAGACAAAGAATTTTAAGCTCTGCAAAAACAACAAGTCACATTTAATGGCAGCCCTTAGGATAAAAGTAGATTTTTGAGCAGAAATATTACATGCCAAGAAGGCACGGAATGATGCATTCTATGTCCTGAAAGAAAATAACAGCTGACCAAGTTCACTACACTTAGTAAAGCTATCCTTCAAAAATGAAGGAGAAACAAATAGCCCTAAAAATAAAGAAAAACTCCGGCAAACACGCCTGTGACCCCAGCCCTTCGGGGGCAGAGGCAAGAGGACTGCTGTGAGTTTGAATTCAGCCTGGGCTATATAGTGATTTCAAGGCCAGCCTGGGCTACATATGGAGACCCTGTCTCAAAAAAACAAACTACAAAAAAAAAAAAAAAAAAAATTGAAAAAATTCTTGTCCACCAGACCAGGCTTACAAAAGATGTTTAAAGGGAGTCTTACATACAGAAGTGAGAGATAACTATCATCATGATATCATGTGAAAAAATGCATTCCATTAAAAGCGTTATGGTTGATACAGTGTGTACATTGTAGACTCAGTGTTGATACGTTGAGTCTAGAGGTTTGGCTAAGTGACTCAGCAGTTCTGCATCCTGGCGTGAAAAAGACGAGGCCTTACCGCTCTAGGATGTTGTTCACTGTATCAGTGTGAGAAGTTCAGAAGGTTAACTATGTGACTCAGCAGGGAGCCAGGGTGCTTACTTTGTATTCATCCTAGGCCTGTGCGAGAGGAGGGCATGGAGATTATGTGAGACTACATGCCCCCTAGGTGAGGGTAGCCTGCTTACAATATAAGGGAGGAGAAGAGGCTTGTTCTCACCCCCGTTTCGCTCTTGTTGCTTTTGCTGTGTTCTGCTGCCATGAACGCTTGCCCTCTGCCATGTGCCACTCTGCCTTGGAGCCAGCTGAGTATGGACTGAAACCTCCATGAACTGTAAGCTAAATAAACCTTTCCTTCCTTCATTTTGGGTGTCAGGTATTTTGTCCCAGCAACAAGAGGAAAGTAACCAAAACAAAGAGTAAATAGGCACAAGGAAAATAAAAACAATCAAACATCAATACACTGCCTGGGAAGTGTAAATTCCTGAGTTTGATATCTCACACACACACACACACACACACACACACACACACACACAAACTATCAATACAGCAAATCTCCAGACTGTGAAGATGAACAAAAGAGGGGAAAAAAAACCCCACAATATTCAGATCAGCTGAAAGAAATGAACAAAATGCCAGGAAGAAGTCTGTACTATCTAATAACCTAAAATGTAAATAAACTAAATTCTTCCCATTAAAAATACAGATTGGCTGAATAAATTTAAAAAAACCAAACAACATGCCACCCATTAAGAGCTTAATAAGTAAAGGCACAAATAGGCCGAAAATTAAAGAATGGGGAATGATGTTGCGAGTTTGGTGCTCGCTATGGTTTAGATACTGAGGGTCCCCCAAAAGTTCATGGGTAGAGGCTGGGTCCCCTGGCAGGCACTGTGGCTCTTTAGAAGGAGGGGCCTTGGGCTGGGGATTTAGCTCAGCGGCAAAAGCGCCTGCCTGGCAAGCGCAAGGTCGTGAGTTCGGTTCCCGGTACCGGAGAAAAATCAAAAAAAAAAAGAAGGAGGGGCCTTCTGGGGGTGCTTAGGTATTGGGGACTGCGGGGCCCTGGCTCCCCTTTCTCTTTTACTTCCTCCTCATTGCCATGAGGAAAGCAGTTTGCTCTCTGCTGTTGCTATTTGGTGCTTCTGCCACCAGAGGCCTGAAAGCAAAGAGTCTGGCTTGCCGTGTACTGGAAACTCTAAACCGTGAGCCAGAAACAACCTTTCCTCTTGCGAAGAGAATCATCTCAGGTAACTTGTTTTATTGATGGAAAATTAACACAGGGTACAAAAAAAAAAAAAAAATATCCCAAGATGTGGTGTGGTGTTTGGCCTGCTAAACATCTTGAACTAAAAGAACCTAGAAGGCCTAAGAAAATACCCCTGAGCCAAAGGCAGTGACCACCCCCTCCAACCCAAGCTCAGGGAAAAATTTCTGCGATGTTGCCTTATCTACCTAAATTTTAGAGCAAATCTGGGGAAAGGAACACAATTACCTTCAATCCAAATTTCATTAACCCAGGAAGAGCAAAGCCATATCACAAAGGAAGACGCTGGAAATCAAACAGTACACACAGAGATCACCAGGGACCGTTGTCCCAGGCTACAGACTGCCCTTGGGCCCATTTGAAGCAAGACTTAAGAAGAAAAAGTGAAGCTTCCCAAACTTCCCTCTCCCTGCAGCTGTTGTTCTTTGTTCTAATATGGACAAAAGCGGTAACTTTTGTCCCTGTGAGTAAAATTTTGTAACCTCCTGTTCCCATAACATCCTGTTATGCCCAAGCAGGGCCACCAGGATACCAACCTGTCACAGCTTGACAACTGCCTTTGTTCTCCTTCTGTTTGCCCACCAGTCTGTGCCAAAGACCATCCTCCATCACCAAATATATAA